TGTTTGGAGTATCATGTCTCTCTGGCATAGATATAATTGAACCCCACCTTTACCCAAGGAGGATCCTTGAATGGTTGAATTTCAGGTAGATCATTTTGACCAAGGACCACAGGTTTCCTCCTTTCCTCCCAGGGCCTGGGCTGTGAAAACAAGACTGGTGTCCCATCATCTCTCAGTTGAACTGAAAACTCTGGCTGGGAAGGCCAAATTAGGATCTCTGAACTCACAGCTCATGAGGCTAGACGGGGTCAGTCTAGGCAGGACTGGGGCGGGGGAGTCTAATGGTGAGCTTGTCTCCTGGGAAAGCCACTGAGTCTGTGGGGACATAGCTCAGGATAGAAACATCTGACCTTCCCATCCATGTCCTACCAGGAAGCTGCAGACTGGCCCAGCTCCTCTGAAAGCAAAGACTCCATGCTGGGCTGGCTTGCAGTGGTGCTGCATGGACAAATATTCCAGCCTCCTGTCTACCTGGCTCACCATCTTCTGCCTCCTGCTGTCCACTTCCTCTGGCCTCCCCAGCATTTCTGGCCCACAGGGTCACTGGAAAGTTGATCGCTCCGACTCTCATCCCCTATTTTACTAGTGAGGACAGCCCAGAAAGGCATAGGGAGACAAAAGCAGACACAGGGCTGGGTAACCCCTGGACCCACCTGCCATGCAGTGTCGTGTTATTATTAGTGTTGTCATTATTGGCAGTGAGACAGGGAGGTTGTGATAAAGCTGAGAATGCACGGGTGATGGTCCTGCCTCTGGCATACCTTGGCCTTTGGTCTGAGGTGGCCAATCATGGCTTGTGGTCCTGAACTGGGCCCCAAGGGCCAGCCTCTCCCCACCCCCCTTCTGCCTTAATCTGTCTCTGGCTACCCACGTTGCACCTGTGGCCACTGCGGGGAGGAGCTTCTCAAACTGTGTTGCCGACAATTTCCTGCCACAGCTTCCTGCCCCAGAGACCAGCATCACTACCCCCACCACTCCCCACAGCTCCATGGACAAGCCCCCACCTTGCTGCCTGGTCCTGTGTCCTGTGTATAGGGAGTGACTATATGAGTCTTTGAGGCAGGGATGGCTGTCTTTGGGAGGATGGAGAGGAGTGGGGAGGGTGTACCCAGTGAAGAGCACTGCATGGATAAAAGTATGGACGTGAATTTGAAAGAAGGCTAATAGCACAACCCAGGTGGAGCAGTTGAAGAATTTAGTTAGTTCAATGAAGTGAGCTGGAGGGAGCCACAGTAAGTTCTTGAGCAAGGGAGTCTTTGGGGGGAAAAACTGCTGAGAAGCAACTCGCAGACCCTAGAGCTCAGCTCATGGGAAACAGACTGTGGGGTTTAGCCAACCACAAACACTATGTGAGTTAGATCTGGATCTCAGATTTTATTAATAGAAACAGCAGGTAGAGATCAAAGGAGGTGATGCCAGCACAAACAGAGAGGTCTGAACTAGACAGGTGAACATGTTTATAGCCACAGACAGAATGGCCCAAGTAGGGCTACCAGGGCTGGGGGAGGAGAGGCGGCAGGAACCATCAGAGAGGGAGGAGGCATATCAGGGAGCCTGTGAAGGACCGAGGAGAGCCAAGAAGCTCAAGCAGGAGGAAAGGGTCACTTGTGTCCATCATTCAGGGGACCCAGCATTGAGGAGGGCTTGCCTGGTGCCCACCAGGTGGTGATATCAGTGTTTCCTCTCTGGCCTGGAGAGTATCCTGGTGGAGGTGGGGGGCAGACTGTGACGCTGGATGAGGGGGTGGGAGTCAAGAAAGTAGAGCAGGGGTGTAGACAGCACTTTCTTTCCTATTTCAGTTATTATTTTTAGTGCCTGGTTTGTCTATAGTTTCCAACTCCTTTAGTTAAAAACCCAACAACTAAGGTAGAATTTACATACAGTAAAATTCACCCATTTTAGTGAACACTTCCATGAGATTTGACAAATACATATATCCAAGAAACTATCATCTCAATTGAGATACTGACTATTCTCCCAAATTCCCTCATGTCTCTTCTAGTCAATCCTTCTCCTTGGCCCCCAGGCTCTGGCAACCACTGATGCTTTGTTCTCCACTGATACAGTTTTGAATGGAATTATACAGTTTGTAGCCTTTGGAGTTTGGCTTCGTTCACTCAGCGTGATGCCTTTGAGATTCATCCATGTGTTGTGGACATTTCCTTTCATTTTATTGCTGGGTAGTATCCCATGGTAGTGATGTACCATAGTTATCTATTCATCTGTTGAGATACATTTGTTTCCAAAATTTGGCAGTTGTGAGTAGAGCTGCTATAAACATTTCCTGTGTAGGTTTTTGTGTGAATACAAGTTTCCATTTCTCTAGGGTAAATACCCAGGAACCCTTTTTGCTTCTTAAACACTCTGATGGAATGGTGACCTATATCTCCAGGTGGGACACAAATGCAGTCTCTGATTAATCACCTACCTGTAACTGTTGGGACATCCAGGAACCCTCTCAAGCCTGGCCTTCCCAAACCAAATGTCAGGAACCGTCTGGTTAGAATGCAGATTCTGGTTCCTCCTCTGGCTACCCTGACTCAGATCTCACCTGATTCCCATTCCAGTATCTTCCTTTCAGCCCCTGTGCCCATCCTTGCCTGTCCCTGGACACCCAGAGGTAAGGCAGCCTTTTCCAACCCACAAAGGCCTTCTTTGCACCCCCTGCTTACTTTTGCTTAACTAAGAAAGGCACCCAAGGATCTTCCCCTGAATGTAACCTATGCCTGGGTGGGCTTGCTGGGCCCACCCTAGAGAAATGTTTGGAAATTGTTATAGGGAGATGAGTTTTTTCAATATTGTATAAACACTTCCAAATATACAGCAAAATGGGAAGAATTATATACCCGTTAACCATCCCATAGTTCTACAATTAATATTGTTATATTCACTTTATCACATACAGTCTATCCTCATTATTAGGATGTTCTGTATTTAGCCTACTTGCTAAAATTTATTTATAACCCCCAAACTAATACTCAAGGCCCTTTCACAGTCATTCAAGAACATACCCAGAGAAGCAAGAAATTTGAGTCAACTGACATGCGCATTCCCACTGAGGTCAAACAAGGTGACACTTTTCTCTACCTTTTTGTTTTACTTCTCATACTGTAAACAAGTGTCCTTCGCTCTATTTGGTGCACATTTTTTTGTGCTTTTTGTTGGTGATTTCACTGTTTAAAGGGCAGTGCAGTGCTGCAGTGCTATCTTGTATTCCTACGTGCAAGAAGGCTGTGATGTGCCTTACAGGAAAAGTCTGGGTTGTCAGGTAATCTTAGCTATAGCGCTATTGGCTGAGCATTCAATGTTAATGAACCAACAATATATATCAAATAAAGTGTCTTTAAGCAGAAACAAGGTTAAGTACTGATCAGTTGATGAAAATATTGACCAGAGAGTGGGGGGGCCTAGGCTGGCTCAGTTGGTAGAACATGTGAGTCTTAATCTTGGGGTCATGAGTTCAAGTCACGTTGAGTGTGGAGCCTACTTAAAAAAATTTTAAGTTGTGGGGTGCCTGGCTGGCTCAGTCAGAAGAGCATGCAACTCTTGATCATGGGGTGGTGAGTTTGAGCCCCACATTGGGTGCAGAGAATACTGAAAAAAAAAAAAAAAAAAAAAAGAAAGAAAGAAAAGAAAAAAGAAAAAAGAGAAAAGAGAAAAAAGAAAAAAGAAAGTGTTGTGACCAGAAACTTGAAGGAACCTAACCCTGGATTCCTCTAGGAGCGATCATTTAGTATTTGCTAATTCAGTGTTTGCAATGACTTTACAGAACTACTCTGAATAATAAGACTTATCTGTTAACCTGTCTATCCATCAATCAATGTTATTTTTCTGGATGCCTTTCAAAGTAAATTACAGCCATCAGAGGTAAATATTTCCACATACAGATCATTAACTAGCGTTCAATATTTTCTTTTTTTTTTAAAATAAGGGGTCCAAATATAATGAAATGAACAAATTTTAGCACATTCTTAGAGAAATTGAGACACTTGTATAACCCAAAGCTTATCAAGATATCAGCCATTGTACCATCACCCCAGAAAATTAAAAGCAGATAATTTTAGGTTATCTGCCTTACCAGATATTTATCTAAATATCCTTAATTCCTTCTCCCTCTCCCCCTCCCCCATCACACATCTCATTTTATTTAGTGGCTGTATCAAAGTTCACGTTGGAGTTAAACCCTAATGTATTTAACCAATATCCTATTGATGGATATTCAAATTAATTTATGCTTTCTAGAAATTTGTCCGTGAAGGCAGAGGGGGCAGGGTAAAGCGGAATTTCTAAGGCCAGGGAGACTCAGTGGAAAGGAAGAAGGGAAGGTTAATAGAGAAAGGTTCTTTTGAAGAACAAAACTTGTTCCAGCTTTGTTCCCTATGCCTGATGTTCTCTCTTCCACGATTTTTGAAAAGCTGGTTCATCCTCATCTTTCAGATCTCAATTCAAATGCTACTACCTCAGACAAGGCGACCTTCCCAGCTACAGTGGCCTCTTCTCTCTCTTAATAGCACTCTATTTCCTTTATAACACTGGTCTCAGTCTGTAATTACTATTTTTGCCTGTTTCCTTGTTTAATGTATTCCCCCCCCCCCCTTCAGATTGTTCAGTATTCAGGAGGGCAGGGCCTGTCTTATTCACTCATATCCAGCGCTGAGCTGAAACACAATTAATTCAACACGTGTTTGGGAAATGAATGAATGGTTCCAGGTTCTGGTGTGTGTGGGCCCGTGGGGGTGTCTGGGCGTTCCACACAAAGTCTCTGAAAAGTCAGAGGAGGATTGGGGATCCTCCGATCTGAGCCCAGCCGGCGGGGGCTCCTCTCCAAGTTTATTCTGGCGTAAAGAGGCTCTGCACTATGACACTGATGCCCCTCAATGCGTCCTCTCTCCCACTATCTCTGGGCCCAGTGGACAGAGTTCAAGAAGGCAAGCCGAGACCCTGACGTGCCCTCCATCTTGTTCTGAACCCGCAGGGTCTGGCGAGGCACAGGGGCGGCGGCGGCGATGCCGGACCCCGCGGCGCACCTGCCCTTCTTCTATGGCAGCATCTCGCGCGCCGAGGCGGAGGAGCACCTGAAGCTGGCGGGCATGGCCGACGGGCTCTTCCTGCTGCGCCAGTGCCTGCGCTCGCTGGGCGGCTACGTGCTCTCGCTCGTGCACGATGTGCGTTTCCACCACTTCCCCATCGAGCGCCAGCTCAACGGCACTTACGCCATCGCTGGCGGTAAGGCGCACTGCGGCCCCGCCGAGCTCTGCGAGTTCTACTCGCGCGATCCCGACGGGCTGCCCTGCAACCTGCGCAAGCCGTGCAACCGGCCGTCCGGGCTCGAGCCGCAGCCCGGGGTCTTCGATTGCCTGCGCGACGCCATGGTGCGCGACTACGTGCGCCAGACGTGGAAGCTGGAGGTGAGAGCGCTGGTCCGAGGGGGCGGGCCCTGGGGGCGGGGCCGGGGAGAACAGGCCCTTGAGGGCGAGAGAGCCTTGGGGACTGGGGAGAGCGATTACATTCTTCAGCCTGCGCTTTGCTGTGCTTCGTCAGATTTGGAAGCTGGAGGGGTGGATGCGGTCCTGGTTGGGGGCAGGACCTAAGAGGTGGCCTCGTAGGGAGGGGGCTGAGTGACGCCTAGGTGCAAGCCTATGCCAGACAGCTGTTGAAGGTTGCCCTGGGCCTGGGCTGGGGGCGGGCCCGGGCTGTGGTCTTCAACAGCTTGCAATACCCGACAACCAGTGTCAGATCTTCGAGCTGAAGATGAGCTTGGACCGCCTGTAAGGCGCGGTCTGGGGCGTGGCCCTAGATGGGCGGGAGGTTGGAGAAGGACCGTGGAGATGGCGGGGGCGGGGGGTAGGAGGGGGGTGTCTGGAGAGGGGGGCTGTCCTCAACAACCTGAAGGACTCACTCTAGGTGGGTCTAGGGTGAAGGGTCTCATAGGGACAGAGGAAATTAGGAAGGTCCAGAGGAGGGAAGAGGGTTCTTGTGGTCACGCCCCTGGTGACAGTTATCAGTCTCCTGGCTCCTCCATCCTCCCTTCCCTAGGGTGAGGCCCTGGAGCAGGCCATCATCAGCCAGGCTCCCCAGGTGGAGAAGCTCATTGCCACAACAGCTCACGAGAGGATGCCCTGGTACCACAGCAGCCTGACTCGAGAGGAGGCAGAGCGCAAACTCTATTCGGGCTCGCAGACCGACGGCAAGTTCCTGTATGTGGGGCTTGAGGCCTGGGGCTTTAGGGCGGTGAGGCTGGGGCTTGTTGGCCAGAATCCTGGAGGCTGGGGCAGACCTCAGTGTGCAGTGTGCAGTGTGCAGGGAGGGGTGCGCCTGTGCTAACATGTGCAAGTGGCTAGTGTGTTTCTGAGTGTGTGGTAGGGACATTATATGAGAAAGGATCTGTAGTGGTTAGGACTCCAGAGCTGGACTGTTTGGGTGGGAATCCAGGCTCTGCTATTTATCAGCTCAGGCTGCTGGGCAAGTAGCTGAACTTCTAACTGCTTCAATTTCCTCTCCTTCATTCAGCAAATATTTACTGAACATCTACTATGTGCCAGGCATGTTTCAGGCACTGAGGACATAGCAGTGAACAAAACGGACACAAATCCCTGTCCTTGTGGAGCAGGAAGACACAAAACAAATCCAGGGAACCCAGGCTGTGCTACCTGCCAGCTGCTGTCCCCACCCTAGCTCAGCTTTGACCTCTTTCATATCTTAAGCTTCCATGGAAGATGTTTGACAACGAATTCCTCTGCCCCAAGGAAAAGTCTGCAAACTTTCTGCAGAGTTTATGACAATTAGTTGGTCTACTGAGGTTAGAGGAATCTCAGGAGAGCCTAGGCCAAGGGCTTTGACCAGCTATGGGTGCCTTGGATGTCAAACTCGAAGTCACAGAGGCAGGTAGGGTCAACATGAGCCATGGGAGACTGAGGCTGAGGGAACAAGGATCAGGTACAGTATAGAGACTGAACTGGCACTGAGGTTCAGAACCAGGTAGAGCAGTGACAGTATCAAGGACAGTGACTTAACACTGGGCAATGTCAGGAGACCAGAAGCAGCTACTTTGAGCCAGGCTATTGGAAAATTAGGCAAGGCATGCTTTGGACAGAAGCTATTGTAGATTGCTTTTGTGGTTCCTGCAGTCAATAACTGCTTTCTCAATATGGGGATAGTTAGGGGCTGAAGGTCAAAGCTACAGAGGATAGTTAGGGGCCAAGGGTCAAAGCTGTAGGCATAGAACCTTGTATGGGGCTGGGAGGAGGGGAACACCCCTGGTGGGTCATGATGCCTGGCACAAGCCCAGAACTGGTCCAGTTCTGAGATAAGGGTGTAGGGTATGATAGAAAGATGCATGTTACTCAGGCCTGGAGTTAAAACCAGGGCCACGCTTAACTATTGACCACAGGTCAGAGCTGCCGAAGAATGGATGGAATTGTACCTCATGCTGTTTGTTGCCAAAGCTTTCTTTATAATCTCAGGGTTTATGGAGTGGTTGATTCAACTTGAAAAGAAACCTGACCTCTGGAAAGGGCCTTTAAGATTATATTGTTAAGTGTTTCCTAACCTCTTCTGGATCACAGACCCTTGTGGGAATCTTACCAAAGCTGAACCCCTTTCTCGACCCCAAACATGTTTACTCCAGAGATTTTGCACACAAGAAGCTACAGAAGATCGTGGTTGAACCTGAGCCTCATTCTTGGAGCCCTTTTTGGGTTAAGAACCTCTGATTTAGTTAAACTGTCTCATTTTACATGTGAGGAAACTGAGAGGATAAGTGACTTTCTCAGGGTGGCACAGATAATCGTGTGACAGAGCTGGCTGTCAGTCCTATTAGCAATTAATTGATTTGAATTGATTTGAATCCTGGCTCGACTTCTAACCAGTTGTGCAATCTAATACCTCAGTTTCCTCATCTGCAAAATGGGGACAATAATAGTACCTACCTTGTGGGGGAATGCTGTGAAGGTCAAATGGCAACTATGTGAAGAATTTAGAACCAGTATCTCAATAAATGATAGCTCTTATATTACTGTTACCAGGTTCTGTATATTCGGAAGTAGAGATACACGTTGATTTCTTAGCTGGCACTTCTAGCTTAAGTTAAGTTTGAACTGCAGAGGCAAAGAACTGCGACCACCTACTGGGTTTTTTTGGTAAATAAAGTAGAATTTGTGGCATTGAAATATACATGGTGACCACATCAATGTCTTTGGCCTATGTGGTTATTATGTGGGAATTGGCCGCTGTTCTTTTATGAATTCACATATCTCTTTCCAAAGAGAGTGTTATCAGTTAGCCTTTGCTATGTAACAAGCCATCCTAAAATATCATGGCTTAAAACAACATTATTTATTCCCCCCTTGATTCAGGGGGTCGGCAGTGTGGGCTTAGTTCAACTGGGTGATTCTTGTACTGGTTTCCTTTGAGCTCGCTCATGTGGCTGCAGTCAGACGTGGTGGGGTGTGGACTGGGGCTGGATGGTCTAGGATGGCCTCACATGTCTGGCAGTTGGCAGCCTGGCGTGCCTGGGTTCTCCTTCCTGGGGCATCTCCAACAGGCTAACCTGGACTCATTCCAATGGTGGCAGGGTTGCCAGGACAAGCAAGAGAGGGCAAGGGAGCCCACTGCTTGACCACTTTCCAAGCCTCACCTCGTGTCACATTTGCTAATGTCTTATTGGCCCAAGCGAGTCATGTGATAAGGCCTGGATTCAGGAGATACAGAATGAGACTTCCTCTATGTTTTTTTTCTTTTAAGTTTATTTATTTTGAGAGAGAGAGAGAGAGAGTGTGTGTGTGTGTGCATGCACACATGGGGGAAGGGCAGAGAGAGAGGGAGAGTGAGAATCCCAAGCAGTCTCTGCACTGTCAGTGCAGAGCCAGATGCAGGGGGCTCCATCATGACCTGAGCCAAAATCAAGAGTCAGCCACTTGACCGACTGAGCCGCCCAGGTGCCCTGAGACTCTATCTGTTGATGGGAAAGAATGCCTAATATTGTGGTGGTGTTTTCAATTTTACATATACGTTTGCTAGTGAGCCTGGGTGTTGAGTTTCTGCTGTTAGTTCAAAACTTAAGATGTGGACCTGAGGGAGGTCTTTTTCACTACTCAAAAGAAGAGAACTAGTAATTAGAAACCATAACCTCCAAGCTACCCCACCAGTCTAGTTATGGAAGTGCTTTCCTTTCTGTGGGACATTTGCATTTTAGTTTGTTGTGGGTTCTCTTCTCTGCCCTTGGGGCTCCCCTATCACCCTGTACCCTGGTTTCCTATGTCTTAAGGCATCCCTAATTGTGGGCCAGCCTAGGAATTATATCTTGCTTCATTGCATTGTTCTCCTGGGAACTTGCTGCCCTTCTGTCCCACTCTCAGGTTTTGCCATGGCAATTTAGAAGATATTTTCCCCATCCCTTTGACCTAAGGGAGGGCTTGATTACAAGGTGGGCTCACATCTCTCTTGCTTACCACTGTATCTCTGCCCTTAGAACAGTGCCTGAGACATGGTTAACATTCAGTAAACATTTATCCGTGGGCCAAAGCCCTGTCAGAGAGTTTACACCACCTGCAGGCCATCCTGATGCCTACTTCCTGCTGCCCGCCCACAGCCAGCTCTTCTGCAACGTAATACAATCCCTCAGATTATGGGTCAGCTGCCTACAACTTCTTGTACAAGACCTGAGACCCCCAGGACCCGTTGCTGTCCATCCTCCATTGGAAATTTACACTTAACTCTGGAGTAGAACCTTGTGCCAGTGACTCGAAACAAAATTGTTTTGTGGGAGGTGTTGGTTGGTTTCACTGTGGGATGAGGGGGTGCAGGCATCTGGCTCTAACTTGGCCTGTGTGTGTGTGTGTGCGTGTGCGGACAAGGTCTTACCACACAAAGCCCCTATTCTTCGAGGGGCTTAGTTCCCATTCATAGACTAGGAAGATTTGTGTACTTATTTTGGCAAATTTCCAGCAGAGGACAATCAAAGGTCTCACTCTGTCAAAGGTCAGTCTTCACAGTAACTAGCGGGTCTGTTGTGATGACAAGGTGACCTACTCTGATTTGTACAAAGGTGCCCCAGGAGCGAGCCATGGAGTTGTGTTTACCTCTGTGGCTCTTCATGGAAAAGTGGCTTTCTCTCCCCAAGAGAGTATTTTAAGTCTGCCTGCAGAGACTTCTGTGGCCTCTGTGGGTGGCTGAGTGTCTACCATAGATAGCTCAATATCCTGTGGATGGCCAAGTATCCCTGGTGAATGGCTGAGTGTCTCCTAAGGAAGGCCACATACTCTGCTGTGGAGGACCCGGTGTCTGCTTGTGGCTGGTTCAGTGTTCTCCCCTGGATGGCCACGTGTTCAGCTGTGTGAGCCTCAGGCTCTTCTGGGCTGAGTGTCCACCGTGGGAGGCCCAGTATTCCCCCGTGGATGGTCACATACTGGCCCTTGGACAGCTGTGTCTCCCTGTGGACACTGCCATTCTCCTCTCATTTCCCTCCCAGACTCCACCCCGCCACCTGTTACCAGTAGGTCTGGAGGTTGAGTCGCGCCTGACCTTGGCTCCCCTAGTCCCTGACACTTCTCTGTGAGACTGTCAGGGTCAGAGCCCATGGGTGTGTGTGTGTGTGTGAGATCTGGGGCCCGGCAGGGGGTCACCACAGGAGAACTCAGGTGGTTATAGGGGTGATACCCCCTCCTTCCCCCTTCCAGGCTGAGGCCCCGGAAGGAGCAGGGCACGTACGCACTGTCCCTGATCTACGGGAAAACCGTATACCACTACCTCATCAGCCAGGACAAGGCAGGCAAATACTGTATTCCTGAGGGGACCAAGTTTGACACGCTCTGGCAGGTAAGCTGCCCATCTACCTTGCTGTTGAGGGGATGTGGTGGGGGGTTGCTTGGGGTTCTGGGGGAGGGAAGAGCCCAGGCCCTGATGCCGCCTCCCTGCAGCTGGTAGAGTACCTGAAGCTGAAGGCTGATGGGCTCATCTACTGCCTGAAGGATGCCTGCCCCAACTCCAGCGCCAGCGCCAGCTCAGGTGAGTGGGGCTGTGGGGGATGGGGGCGGGATGAGCGAAGACCCCGTGCCCCACCCCCTCACTGTCACTTCTGCTCCCCCAGAGGCTGCTGCTCCCACACTCCCAGCTCACCCGTCCACTTTCACCCATGTGAGTTAGCTGGCATCTCAAAGTTGGGTCGTGAGGGATGGAGCTGGGCGGGTGGGTGATGGGTCCTGTTCCCAGGGCGAGGCTGGGATGGAGAGTGGGGCTGCCATGGACCAGAAGAGGGTACCCCCCAGAACTGTCCCTGGGAATCCTCAGAGAATATGGGTCTCAGGGGCTGGGTGCCCCCAGCTCAGGTCCTGCTGACCCTTGTTGACCCCATGACCTTTAGGCTCAGAGACGGATTGATACCCTTAACTCAGATGGATACACCCCTGAACCAGGTGAGCTGACAAAGCTGGAGGTGTATATGTGGGGTTCCTGCCAGGCTGTGATCAAGGTCCCTGGCTGGGCTCCAGGGTGTGGCAGGGGAGGGATGTGGGCCAGGCCTGACTTGTGACTGCAGACGTCCACGTGGGTGCACATCCATCACGCCTGCCTGTGTGCTTGTGCATGGGGTGCATGCAGACACGCAGGGGAGTACATCTGGCTGTGCCTGAGCCACAGACACACATGTGTTCAGTACCTACGATGTGCCAGTCACGCCCCATGCTCGTGTGTGTCTGAGCTTGTTGAATGCTTCTGCTATGCCATATTAATCATGCCAGTTAGTCATGATGATTATTCTCAGTTTACAGATGAGAAAGGAGGGCAAGTAACTTAATAAGGTCTTGCGGTTGGGCAATAGTGGAACTGGGATTTGAACCCAGGCAGGCAGGCAGGCAGGCTCTGGAGCCCCTGTTTTTAAAATGCCTGGCTGCAGATGCTCATGTGTTTGATGTGTAGATGCAAGCCTATCCCGTGTGCATGCACAGAGAAAATACAGGATTGCGTGTGCACACAGAGGCTCACCTTTGGAGCCCTTGTAAACATGGCTGTGTGGTGCATCCAGAGACATGGGCAGACATGGACATAGGTGCACACACACGCACAGAGGTCTTCCTGTAGCTGGCACACTAACAGTTTCTCATGCAGATGTGCCTTTGGACCCCCATCACACACAGACGTGGGTGCAAGTATACGAGGGTGCGTTTGTGTGAATGCATGGGCACATGTGGTTACATGTGCACATAGACGCATATGCCTTTAGAGCCCACTGGATGTGGCTTCCCAGTCCCCCCCAGAGGGGACCAGGAGTGTACACAAGTGCACGCATGCACACGAGCACACACGTGTACCCACGTGCCTGTGCATGCTCTGGATGGTGCACCGTTGTCTGGGGTGTGCGCTTTGCGGGTGCCAAGGCTGCTGTGCCCTCCCCATCCCTTGTCCCACTCCCTCATCCTGACTTGGGAGCGCACACGTGTGTGTATGCCCAGCACGCCTAGTGTCCGCAGAGAAGCCAAGGCCAATGCCCATGGACACAAGTGTGTACGAGAGCCCCTACAGTGACCCTGAGGAGCTCAAGGACAAGAAGCTCTTCCTGAAGCGTGAGAACCTTCTCATCGCTGACATAGAACTTGGCTGTGGCAACTTTGGCTCAGTGCGCCAGGGCGTCTATCGCATGCGCAAGTATGGCTGCTCCTGCCGTGGTTTGGGGCACCACCGTGGTGGGGGGACAGAGGAGGGTGTGGCCTCACCAGGCCTTGGGGGTTGGGGCCAGGATGCGATATCAGTTTGCCAGGGAGACAGACCCTGGGCCAGAAAAGTACATGCTAGGGGGTTACCTGGGAGGGCTCGGGTCAGCACCTGAGAGGGTGTGGGAGAAGCAGGCTGGGACAGGGAGAGGGTGGGCTGAGCCGCAGTTGCAACAGAGGCCTTAACCGACCCAGGGGAGCTGCAGAGGGGCCCCCCTTTGTAGCCTTGCTACCGGATACAGGCAGCCCCTGGGGACGGGTGTAGCTCTGAAGTGTTTTTTTTCAGCGAGGGGCAGTTCTCGGTGAGGGACTTGGCAGCGAGCTGTCCCTGGCCGACACTCCTGGCACCTGAGGAAGTGGCAACCCACGGTATCCACCACACATGGCCAGAGAGAAGAGAGGCGGGTTGGGTGGGCACAAGGGGCCGAGCGGGGCCCGTGCTGACCAGGTGCACGTCATGGCAGGAAGCAGATTGACGTCGCCATCAAGGTGTTGAAGCACAGCACAGAGAAGACAGACAAGGATGAGATGATGCGCGAGGCGCAGATTATGCACCAGCTGGACAACCCCTACATCGTGCGGCTCATCGGCGTCTGCCAGGCCGAGGCCCTCATGCTCGTCATGGAGATGGCAGGCGGCGGGCCCCTGCACAAGTTCCTGCTTGGGAAGAAGTGAGCTCCGGGCGGGCTGGGCACTTGGAACTTGTGGGCCCAGCAGGCTCATCCGTCCTTATGGGTGTGCTCCAGCCACGAGGGCACACTTGTTTTCACACAGCTGTAGACACACTCACTCCTGCCGCCCTGCGTGCCCACACTCACACCCATGGGGTGGAGCTGTTACCAGCACAGCCGTCAGAGTCTGACCTCCAGATCTGAACTGCAGCTCTGCCACTGACTAGTGTGACCCCAGGCAGGTCTCTCAGTTTGTCTGTGCCTCAGTTTCCTCACTCGTACCACAGTGCTGATCACAGTATTTACCTCAGGGGGCTCTTGTGAGGCTCATGTGAGTTGATATTTGTAAAGTGCTTAGAACAGTGTCTGGTCCTGCTTGTAAGAGCTTTAGAAGTTTTGCCCTCGTGAGATTGTCCATAGTCGATTGTCTTTGACCTAAGACACTGTCAGCAAACTGTAGCCCACAGTGTTGTTTGGTACTGCATGGCTTGGCATTTTTAAAGGGTTGTAAAAGAAAAAAAGAAGCAGAAGAGTATGTGGTAGAGACCATACGTGGCCTGCAAAGGCTAAAATATTTACTATCTGGCCCTTTACTGAAAAAATTTGCTGACCCTCAATCTAAAGAAACTGTGATTTCATTTGTTTTCTCGTGCCTTAAACTCTTACCCTCATAGACACGGTCTTTGACACTCACTGAGTGAGTGACCATCAACTGAGGCGTGTGACCATCAACTCCTATTCTGACTGGTGCATGTACATTCACAGTGTACCCCAGCTCGTGCATGCGTTCGTGCTGACTCATACATTCAGTTATTCCACAGGTTTTGCTGGGCAATTTCTCTGTAATCGGGACTGTTACTAGCATTTGGGATTCATCGGTGAACAAAAGGGACAAAGGTCTCTGTCCTATATTCTGGTTGGGAAAAAAGAGGCTTTCAATGATAATTATAATGCAATGTAGAATATGTTGGAAGAGAAGTACTATGGAAAAGAAGATTGGGAGTGTCACGGTGGGAGGTGAAAAGTGAGAAGGCGAGGTCTGTGCAAACTGAGGGAGGCAGCCAAGTGCAGCTGTGGGGGAAGAAGCCAGTGCAAAGGCCCTGAGGTGTGCCTGTGCCCAATGTGGTGAGAGAACTGTGAGGAAGGTCCCATGGCTGCGACAGAGTGAATGAAGAGGAGAGGGGGAGCTGATAAGGGTAGGGAAGTGATGGGGTAGGTCATGCAGGACCTTGTGAGCCATGGGGAGACCTTGGACTTCCACCCCAAGTGTGGTGGGAGCCCTGGGAGGCTCTAAACAGGGGGAGTGGCAGGACTGGGCTTCTGTGCTCAGGGAGGATGGGCGATGGGGAATGAGGGTGGTGGTGCCTGTTCGTTCTGGTCCAGGCTTACAATGATGAAGGCTGGACTGGGGTGGCAGAAGCAGAGGTGGAGAGAAGTAGAAGGATTCTGGAAGGATTCTGAAGGCAGAGCTGCCAGGGTATGTTGACAGATTAGAAGCCAGGTGTGAGAAAGAGGAGCTGAGGGTGAGGCTGGTGCTTCTGGCCCAAGTCAATGAAAGGATGTGGTTGTTGGAGAAGAAAGGGACAGTGGGGGGAGCTGGGTATGTGTGTGAACAACCAGGAACTTCGCTTTATCTTTATTTTTATTATTTTCAAGTTTATTTATTTATTTTGAGAGAGACAAGAGTAGGAGAGGGGCAGAGAGAGAGAGAGAGAGAGAGAGAGAGAGAGAGAGAGAGAGAGAGAGAATCCCAAGCAGGCTCCACGCCCAGCACAGAGCCTGACATGGGGCTCGATCCCACAACCCTGGGATCATGACCTGAGCTGAAATCAAGAGTCGGATGCTTAACTGACTGAGCCACCCAGGTGCCTCTGTCTTTATTATTTTTGAGATGCCCATGAGACCCCCCCCCCAACCAGGGGCGCAAAGAGGATGCAGGTAAATGTGTAAGTTTGGGAATCATAGTATGTGGGAGACATTGAAAGTCTTGAGACCAGAGGAGGACAGAGGGTTTTGCCTCTTCTGTTCACACCTGCCCTCCTTCCTGTATCTCCAGCCCTGTGCCTGGGCACACAATAAGCACCTGCTGACTACATGCTCAGCTGGGTCAGAGGTGTGGGCTTTGCTCCCTTGGGAACTCGGGCTGTCCCCTCCCACCTGACCCTGCTTTCCCCTGCACCCCAGGGAGGAGATCCCCATCAGCAACGTGGCAGAGCTGCTGCACCAGGTGTCCATGGGGATGAAGTACCTGGAAGAGAAAAATTTTGTGCACCGTGACCTGGCAGCCCGCAACGTCCTGCTGGTCAACCGGCACTACGCCAAGATCAGCGACTTCGGTCTCTCCAAGGCACTGGGTGCCGACGACAGCTACTATACTGTGAGCCCCCACCCCTTTGGTGCCCAGGTGGATGAGGTGGGTGGGTGGAGGGTCCCTGAGCCCTGCCCTGGCAACATCTCCCCCTTTTCAGGCCCGCTCGGCAGGGAAGTGGCCGCTCAAGTGGTACGCGCCCGAATGTTTCAACTTCCGCAAGTTCTCCAGCCGCAGTGATGTTTGGAGCTATGGGGTCACCATGTGGGAGGCCTTCTCCTATGGCCAGAAGCCCTACAAGGCAGGCATAGGCAGAGGCGGGTGGGCAGGTGGCTGGGTGAGAAGGGGGGTGAGGGTGAGGTGGCCTTGGTTACTCATGTTGCACTTGGTTCTGGCTCGAGCAGAAGATGAAGGGCCCTGAAGTCATAGCCTTCATCGAGCAGGGCAAGAGGATGGAGTGCCCGCCGGACTGTCCACCTGAAATGTACACACTCATGAGTGACTGCTGGATCTACAAGTGAGTGCCAGTGGGTGGGAAGGGTACCCAGCTGAGTTGACACTGGGCCGGGGACCAGAGGTCATGGTGACCAATAGTCCAAAACTCATCCCTCCCAAGACTCACCCAGTTCACAGTCTTTCTCACACGCAGTAGCTTTACTCTCTGCACCTATGCTAAATACCTCAACACATGGACCCTATAGTGCTCCAATGGGCCAACACCCCAACACTCTACCTGTAAACACCTAATGCTCCAGCATCTAAAACCTCAGGCCCCCACCAGCCAACACTCAACACGTTGATCCTGCAATACTCAAACAAGGCAGTACTCTTTTACCCAAAATATAGTACCAATGGTCAGGACATGTGATAATACTCCACTCTCATTCCTCAGTCCCCCGCTGTCCAACATTCAACACCTATTTATCCTGACAAGCCAACACTACAGCACCCAAATACTCAATATATTCAAAACCTCCACCTCTGTCCAGTGTTCAAGCTCAACACTTGAACAGCCCAACTTTTAACACCATCAGTATTTCAACTTCCCATCAGAAAATAGGCAACACACACCCAAACAATATATTGTCCTACACTGAGCCATTGTCATCCACTGAGCATGGATATTCCAACATTTGATACCTTTTCTACCCGGACATCCATTATTCCATTGGCCAGCACCTATGACATTGACACCTAAACACCCAAGCAACCCGATGTATAGATACCCTATTTATGATAAATAATACATGATCAGTCCATCCAACATGTGTTGACCTGGTCTCCATTGGGAAGTACTCAGTACACCAACACCCCAATACTGAAAGAGACTCGCATCCAACGCCATACATGGATATTTCACACACAGTACCATTCGTAGCCCAACTCTTCACTAACTGAACCCACCATCAATGCTCCAATGTTCTGCTAGACTAGGGGCAGCATACTTGCACCCATAAAAGTCCGCACCTGGCATCCAAATACACTGGCCCTTGGCACATGTGCAGTACCTCAGCTTTCAATATCCCAGGCCCCCTTCATTGATAGTTGTAACCCTGACACTCAGTGAATTCAGTTCCCTAAATCTTCACCAGTTAACCCTCAACAGATGGTTCCCCCAACATCCTGTATGTCGGCAGCTCTTCTATTACATGGTACAGAACCACTCGAATTCTAGTACTCACATCCAAGAGACGTCTCCATTTCCCAAAACTCTACCACCCTGACAGCCCCACTGATTTTATTTTTTTAAACGTTTATTTATTTCGAGAGAGACAAAGCCAAGCAGGGGAGGGACAGAGAGATAGGGGGAGAGAGAGAGAGAGAGAGAGAGAGAGAGAGAGAGAGAGAGAGAGAGAGAGTCTCAGTGCAGAGCCTGACATGGGGCTTGATCTCACCAACCGTGAGATTGTGACCTGAGCTGAAACCAAGAGCTGTATGCTTGATTGAGCCACCTAGGTGCCTCCCCGCCACACACTGATTTTTTGAGCCCCCATGCGTGTCTGCCCTCCAGCTGAAGCTGGGTTCTGGGGATATGGTCAGTGGCCTGGATCTACCTGAACCCCCACAGGTGGGAAGACCGCCCAGACTTCCTGGCTGTGGAGCAGCGCATGCGGACCTACTATTACAGCTTGGCGAGCAAGACTGAGGACCCCCCAGGGCCTGGAAAGGGAACCGAGACTGCTTTTGCCTGAGCTCCAGCCTGCCTGGGGCCTGCAAGCCATGATGCCCCAGCTTCAGCCCCATCCTAGGACCTCCAGTCTGGCTGGCTTCACTTCAGCTTTTCTGCCCAAACCAGCTGGGCTGTATAAGGCAGGCAGCTGAAGCCTCAGTTTAATACTGATCTAGTTTTCCACTTGGCCACCTGTCCCCTCTGGCTGGGGGAGGAAGGAGGCCCTGGGAGGGTGGGTTGCATAGCCTGCTCTTGGGCTGGTATCTACTGGGGAGCCCTTGAGCTGAGGGAGCATTGCTTACAGTAAGGACCCTCCTTCCTCTGGAGCCTGAAGGGGAAGACTTGGAATTCTCAGGTGGCAAGACCTCAATCGTTTAAATAAACTCAGCTTCTTTCTTATTTGAGTCTCTCATCTTTTCTGCCATGGGTGGGGGTTGGGCAGGACAGGGGGTGGGTCATTGGAAGGGGTCAATGAGAAGTGCCTGAGCACAGCTTTTCTTGTGTGGGCCTGGATGTGGCCCCCAGGGTCTGAGTATCTGACTTTCCCACTTCTCTGCCCTGGGGACATCTTTTTTTTTTTTTTTAAATTTTTTTTTTTTCAACGTTTATTTATTTTTGGGACAGAGAGAGACAGAGCATGAACGGGCGAGGGGCAGAGAGAGAGGGAGACACAGAATCGGAAACAGGCTCCAGGCTCTGAGCCATCAGCCCAGAGCCCGACGCGGGGCTCGAACTCACGGACCGCGAGATCGTGACCTGGCTGAAGTCGGACGCTTAACCGACTGCGCCACCCAGGCGCCCCTGCCCTGGGGACATCTTTGTGTGAGTGAGGAGCTGTGGCAGAGTGGGGGAACTGAGGCAGGTGTGCTGCTGGGCCTCAGCTTCCCTGTCTTTGTGGGTTGCGTGAGAAGGGTGCTCTCCATGCTGGCTGCCTGTTAGCATCACCTGATGCGGTTTTAACAAACGCCAACCCCCTCTCCTCCACGCCTCAACATTGGTGCCTTTTAAAGTGCCTTCAGGTGATTCTATCACCTAACACCCTACTCAACTGCCCCGCCTTCCTCCCTGGACACAGTCACAGCTGGGACCTTCACCTTGTGTCCCAAGTGCCGGCTCAGTCCTGCTGAGAAGTCCTGTCCCTGAGCTCTTGCTGCCTCAGTTTCCCCATGTGGAAAATTGGGATGTTGGAGCACAGAACCCAACAGGTCGGGTGAAATGGAGCCAGGCTTCTGCCTTTCTTTTCTGAACTTGCTCCCCTTTCCTCAGCTATGATTGGCCCCACCCCCAGTTCCCAGCCATTGCCTCATTCTCTTGGCTTGGCCCTCTAAAGCAATTGGCTCAAGGGCAGCCATGAAACCCACTCAGAGCCAGGGAGAGGCAAGGAGATTTTCTGCAGCTTCTGGGAAGGCAAGTTTTCTTTTGTTTTGTGGCTGTTTTGTGGAACTGTGGGGGCAGGACGGGGGTTTTATCTGCTGTGTGGGGTAGGAGAATGAGGCTAGGTGGGTGACCCCGGTGAGGAGACCCCAGAGCCAGGAAATTGACACTGAAATTACTAACTTAGGTACAGACTTTACTCTCATTTCACCATTTACTATTGAATTTTAAAAATTTATATCTAAGCCTCATATTAGCATCTTCTTATATGAACTTTGTACTCTATTTGGAATTAGTTGAGAGAACCCTCGGTTGTGCCGTCAACCAGGGTACACCAAGAATCTCAGTTATGTACGTTCATTTGCAGAGTAAACCTGTAATGGTTTGGAATTGTTTGAGGGCCTCCAAGCCCTGGGAGACAATATCTTCCTGCATTGAGATTCAAAATAGACAAACACTGATTGTAAAGATAAACACAGGAGCTTGAATTGCTTCCATTTTGTCATTTTGGGTGACCATTTGAAGATTTCGTGCTTACAATTTCAAACAGTGGAGGCTTGAAAACCACGACATGAAAGGCTTTTAGTTGGTAAACGTACATATTAGTTCATATGTGAGCTATAATAACTGAATTTGAATAACATCATTAAGATTCAAGCATTGTTTTTCAATTGTTTTAAAACCAACGAACAAATCAAGAAAATATTATATCAGTGGTGAGGTTTTGTGGCTTCCCGAATTGTAGTGTTTGCAGATATTTCAGTTTTATTAAAATTTGCTTAGTTACTGGACAATCATTTACATTATTACATAAAGTGTTTTAGAAGAAGGGAAATACGTTTTCACCGTCTGCACTTCTTTTATGGTCATCATAACTACTTTATTTTATGATTATTGCTGAAAATTATTTTATAGGAAGGAGGTATCAAAAACGATCCCCTCTGAGTGTCAGATACACTGGGAACCACCTTACGTGTGTTGGCAATTAATGTTGAATGAACCAATGAAAGAAGGTGCGATTCCACACAGTTACCACCAGGTGCCGCTGTTCTCCAAGCCAACGTCTCAGTTCCAAATCTGGTCCTAGCTCCTGTCCAGCGTTTGGACATTTCTTCCCAGGCTCCACCCTGGTCTCGAGGCCCCTACTACCGTCCCCTGCAATCCACTCACTCCAGAACCACTTGCAGGATCTTTCCTACCAGCAGCTCTGACCAAGTCCCTCCACCCTCTTCCAGGGTTCCCCAAACATATCTATGCTGACTCTCACCTCTGGGCTTTTGCATTTACTGTCTCCTCTGCCTGAGATTCTTTTCTTCTTCATTAAAAAAATTAATTATTTGGGGCGCCTGGGTGCTCAGTTGGTTGAGCGTCTGACTTCGGCTCAGGTCATGATCTCAGAGCTCATGAGTTGAAGCCTCGACTAGGGCTCTGTGCTGACAGCTCGGAGCCTGGAGCCTGCTTCGGATTCTGTGTCTCCCTTTCTCTCTGCCCCTTCCCTACTCGCATTCTGTCTCCGTCTCTCTCAAAAATAAATAAACATTAAAAATTTTTTTTTAATTATTTGATAAGTTTGAAATGTTGTAATTTGTAAATTTAAGGTGTAGAGCATGTTACTTTGGTGTGTGTGTGTGCATATATATATATGTGTGTGTGTGTATATATATGTATGAATATGATTGCCATTGAAGCAATGTTTATCACATTACATCATAGTACAGTGTTACTGACTATATTCATTATACTGTGCATTAGATATCTATGACTATTTCAGTACTCATTGCAAGTTTATACTCTTAAAGACCATCAGTCATTTTCCTCTGCACCCTCATTCTCTGGAAATCACCATTTTATTCTGTTCTTTACAGGTTTTTTCCCTAGATTTTACATATAAGTGACATCATTAGTACTTGTCTTTCTCTGTCTGAATTATCTTGCTTAACATGATGTGCTCAAGGTCCATCCATGCTGTCACAAATGGTGTCTTGGGTGTAGTTAGTGGAGTTCAGCTTCCCCTACATCTTTCTGTCTCCATTGCTTGTTCTCCCTGTTTTGTTCACTGTTGATGTTTGTTGGTTTCTATCTGGCTCTCTCCATCTGTACTTCTCCTTTCTTGTCCCTCCAGACTTCACTTCCATTCAAACATGTATTGAGCACTTACTGGGAGGACTGGCCTCAGCCTAGGCTCCCTGGGTGTGAAGGGGAAGGACTGAGGGAGGTAGTTTCTGATATTTTCTTGCTTACCTTCCTATGATGAGCAGCTCATCACCTACCAAAGAAGCTCAAGCTGGCTAGTGAGGTAGCATTCTTTCAAGTGCTGACCCCAAACTGCATCTGCACCCCTTTCTCCATGGTCCCAAGACTACACAGACCTCACCTCTTTCTCCAAAAAGAGATTTCACCTTTCCTTTATAATGCTGCAATGTGCCTATTCTGGAAATGTGTATCAAGGAGAACATAGACCACTGAATAACCACTGCTGTGATGGTGGAAGCCCACAGGGCTCTGGGTGTTCAGCAGAGGCTGAGGGGGGGGGGCTCAGTCTGGTGGGCTTCCTGTAGGAGGCAACGTATAAGCTGAGTCCCTGTAGGGTGAGTGAGATGTGGCTGGGGAAAAGGTGAGGAAAGTGTTCCAGGCAGCAGGAGGCGGAGGTGAGAGAACATACTTTTGGGAACCAAAATTGTTTTGAGTGGCTTTAGAACATTGTGTTTGAGTGAGGCTGCTGTGGTCAATAAAGGGATAATGGGAACCCTGGAGCAGTGACCCCTGTGGGAGACAAGTGGCACCTTTTTCTTTTGTATTTCCTAGTGGTTTGCTGGGAGGCCATTTATACTGTCTCTCCCTCTCCTTGCCCATCCCTGTTTCCAGGTATGTGGCTGCATTCTTCCAAGCATAGGGTTTTTTTTTTTTTTTAAGTTCTTTTATTTGAGTGTAGTTGACATACAGTGTTACATTAGTTTCAGGTGTACAACATGGTGATTTGACAAGTTTATATGTTATGCTATGCTCATCACGAGTACGGCTACCATCTGTCACCATACAATACTATTGCAGTATCATTGACTATATTACTTATGCTGTGCCTTTTATTCCTATGACTTATTTGTTCCATAACTGGAAGCCTGTATCTCCCGCTCCCCTTCACCCATTTTGTCCAGCTCCTACCCTCCTCCTCTCTGGCAACCATCAGTTCTCTGTGTTTACAGGTCTGCTGCTGCTTTTTGTTGTCGTTGTTTTGATTTGTGTGTGTGTGTGTTTTTTAAAGATTCCACATATGAGTGAAATCATGGTATTTGTCTTTCTCAGTCTGACTTATTTCATTTAGCATAATACCCTCTAGCTTCATCCATGTTGCCACAAATGACATGATCTCATCCTTTTTTATGTCTGTGCAATATTCCTCTGTATGTGTGTGTGTGACATCTTCCTTATCCATTTTTCTATTGATGGACATTTAGGTTGCTTCCATATCTTGGCTATTGTAAATAATGCTGAAATAAAAACAGAGTGCATTTATCTATCTTTTTGGATTAGTATTTTCATTTTCTTTGAGTAAATCCCCAGTGTAATTATTGGATCATATAGTGTTTCCATTTTTGGGGGGAAACCACTATACTGTTTTCTATAGTAGTTGTACAAATTTACATTCCT